TCTATCTATCTATCTATCTATCTATCTATCTATCTATCTATCTATCTTTGTCTGTCTATCATCTATTTATCTAACTAACTATATCTATCTTTTCTCTGTCTCTCTCTCTCTCTCTCTGTCTTTCTTTCTATCTATCTATCTAGCTATCTAGCTATCTATCTATCTTTGTCTGTCTGTCTGTCTGTCTATCTATCTATCTTTGTCTGTCTGTCTATCTATTATCTATTTATCTAACTATATCTTTTCTCTGTTTCTATCTATCTATCTATCTATCTATCTATCTATCTATCTATCTATCTATCATCTATCTATCTTTGTCTGTCTATCATCTATTTATCTAACTAACTATATCTATCTTTTCTCTCTCTCTCTCTCTCTCTCTCTCTCTCTCTCTCTCTATCATCTTTGTCTGTCTGTCTGTCTGTCTGTCTGTCTGTCTGTCTATCTATCTTTGTCTGTCTGTCTATCTATTATCTATTTATCTAACTATATCTATCTTTTCTCTGTATCTATCTATCTATCTATCTATCTATCTATCTATCTATCTATCATCTATCTATCTGCTATCTATGTATCTAACTATATCTACCCTCTGTCTCTATGTCTGTCTGTCTGTCTGTCTGTCTGTCTATCTATCTATCATCTATCTATCTCTTTCTCTTTCTCTGTCTATCTATCTATATCTATCTCTATCTGACAGGAAATATATTTTGTGTATTTTTTTGTTGGATTTTTTTGTTGGATGTTAACGGTTGAGTAGGAATAAACTACTAAAGAGATCTATCATTTGTTTTCAATCTCAATAAGATCTTGATTGCACTACAGGCAGTCCTCAAATTACAACTGTTCATTTAGTGACCGATCAAAGTCACAATGGTGCTGAAAAAGGTGACGGAGGACTGCTCTTCACACTTAATGACTGTTGCTGCCTCATAGTCACTTAATCAATATTTAAACACTTGGCAACTGACAACTGATATTACGACAGTCGCAGCGTCCTGGGTATGTGTATGTCACACAATCTCCTTTTGCGACTTTCCAACAAGCCAAATCCCTGGGAAGGAAGCCCGATTCACTTAAGGACCGTGTGAGACTCACTTAACAACTGCAGGGATTCATGATTGTGGAAAGAAAGGACCTTAAAACGGAGCCAAATTCACTTAACGGCCGTCTCGTTCAGGTGCAGAAGTTGACTGCCTGCGTAATTGATTGGCTTTGGATTGGGGGGGTTGGACTAGATGACCTACAAGGTCCCTTCCAACTCTGATGATCTATTTATCTGTTTGTTGAAATCTGTTTAAATCCTCTCTTATTAGGAAGTGTCTCCTTAATTACAGGTTGTTTCCTCTCCTGGATGAGTTTTCCCTCCTTTGGGGGTTTTATCCAGCTGTTTTGATTTGATTGATTTGGTCCTTGATTTATGACCATCCTCAAGCCCAAAATTCCTGTTGCTAAGCAAGAGGTTTTCTTAAGGGTAAGTTTGCCTCATTTGGATGACTTTCCTTGGCTACCGTTGTTAAGCGAAATCGCTCCAGTTGTTAAAGTGAGTCACACAGTTGTAAAGCGAATCGGGCTTTTCCCTCTCCCAGACTTTTCCTGACACACACCCCGTGGGATGCTGTGATACATCATTAATACAAGTCAGTGGCCAAGCAGTCTGAATTTTGACCCTGGGCATGCGACAGGGGTCGTAAGTGTGAAAAAACGGTGCTAAGTCCCTTTTTCTCGGGGTTGTTGTAAGTCTGAATGGTCACCGTCGTACGTTGAGGACTGTCTCTGTATTGCAATGTCCCCTTCCTCCCCAGGATTTAAACGGCAAAGGCAGGGTTTTAAACAGCAGGGTCAGATACAGATTAAAAGAGTGGGAAGGGACCTTGGAGGTCATCTAGTCCAACCCCCATCTACCCAAGCAGGAGACCTCATGCCATTTCTGACAGATGGCAGTCTGGTCTCTTCTTCTTCTTCTTCTTTTTTAAGTTTTACTGTTTTTAAGACAAACTTAGACAAACAAAACATAAAAACATCAAGCCATCTTCCATATATATACACATACGGTGTGTCGGTTGGTTTACAAATTGTTTTATGCTTCCACTTCATAGTCTTCACTTACAATTACATTGTATATATTCTCGTATTGTCAATCAAATATTCCTAAATACATTAATATCATTGTTAATCAATCATTTGACTATACTATTATTCATTCATGTTTTACAAGATAATCCATATTTTACTTAATTTGTTTTATGACTGTTCATATCATCATCTCAAATCTATCCTATAATCATTTTGTAGATATAATTTTAAAAAAATACATCTTTATATATTCATTATGTTCTAAAAATCTACATATTTCATTACCATGTTTCATTGTCTAACCATTGATAGAATAGATCCCAAATTTTAAAAAATTGTTTATCTTCTTGTTCTCTGATTTCAAATTTCAATCTACTCATTTCAGTACATCCCAATATTTTCTTAATAACTTCCTCCTGTGTTGGTATTTTCTCATTTTTCCAGTTTTTAGCAAATACGATCCTAGCCGCTGTTAATACATTTACAATCAAATATTTCAATTCTTTACTGTATATTTCAGGTAAAATTCCCAATAAAAATATCTCTGGTTTCAAGTCTGTATGCTTTTTTGTCATATTTTCCAACCACGTGTGGATTTTAGTCTAATATTTTTTAGCATCTGCACAAGTCCACCACATATGGTAATATGAGCCAGATATCTGATGACATTTCCAACATTTTTCAGATTTGTTCTTGAACATTCTTGCTATTCTTGTTGGGGGGAAATACCACCTGTAAAACATCTTATACAAATGTTCTTTATATGCTGTTGACATTGTCATTTTATAATTTTGAGACCATAATTTTTGCCATTTCTCTAGATCAATCCCATATCCAAAATTCTTCCCCCAAGCAATCATTGTTTCTTTGATTCGTTCTTCATCTAGTTTAATTTCTAATAAATATCCATACAATTTTTAAATCACCTTTTCATTACCTTTCAAAATCTTATCTAACTCAGTCAATTTATCATAGAAACCTTCTGTTTTAGAATCTTTATCATACCTTGAATGTATTTGCGCATATGAAAACCAATTCATCTTTATACCTTGTTCCTCTAATTTTTGCATAGATTTAAGTTTGCCCTTTTCATTCAATATTTCACCATATCTAACTGTTTGTTCCTTTTTGTATATTATAGGAGAAGAAAATGCTTCAATAGTCAATAGCCAGACTAGAATTTTCAAATAACATTGCCTTTTAATCTTCTCCCAGTTTATCCACAGAGACTCCCGTATATAATGTCTTCTAAAGTTACCCCTGTGTTTTAGTTCCTTTATACCATAAAAAAGCATGCCACCCCAACAACAGGTCATGTCCTTCTAATGTCAACAATCTAGCATTTCTTAATGTTATCCATTCCTTAACCCACATCAGATTTGTAGCTTGGTAATACAACTCCCAATTAGGCAAACCAAATCCTCCACAGTCCGGTCTCTTCTTGAAAGCTTCCAGGGATGAAGCTTCCACAACTTCTCTTTCTTTCTTTCCTCCTTCCTTCCTTCCTTCCTTCCTACCTACATGTCTACCTATCTGTCTACCTGTCTATCTGTCTATCAGATTAACAGAATTGGAAGGGACCTTGTAGGTCATCTAATCTAACCCCCCCCCCCCCCCCGAGAAAGAGACCCTACACCATTTCTGACAGAGGGCAGTCCGGTCTCTTCTTGAAAAGCCTCCAGGGATGAAGCTCCCACAATTTCTGAATAACAGAATAATAACCAGAGCTAGAAGGGACCCTGGAGGTCATCTAGTCCAACCCCTCCTGCCCAAGTGAGAGAGCCACCATTTCTGACAGACTGCAGTCCAACCACTTCTTTAAAGGCTCCAGGGATGAAGCTCCCACAACTTCTGAAGGCAACTTTGGTTGATGGCTCTCCCTGTCAGAAAGTTTCTCCTTATTTCCAGGTTGAATCTCTCCTTGTTCAGTTTCCATCCATTCTTCCTTGCCTGGCCTACAGGCGCTTTGGAGAATAGCTTTTGTGCACAACCTGTTGTGTGCAGTTGTGCGTTGCCTTCCGTCTCCCCCCTCTCTCTTCGCGATATCATGGTTCAGATCTAAATGCTTTCGTCCAAGATTGACTTTTGCACGCTATTCTGGATTCTCTGTCTACGTTTCCTGCAGGAGAGCAACGGTTCCGGAAATTAATCACAATTTCTCCTCCTTCCATTGTTTTGGAGGGTTGGCATTGCTTTTGCCCCATAAATCTTTTTTTTTTTTGGCGGGGGGGGGGGGGTGAGGGAGGGAATCAGAGTTAGAAGGGACCTTGTAGGTCATCTAGTCCAACCCTCGCCCAAGTGGGAGACCTACACCATTTCTGACCAGTCTCTTCTTGAAAGTTTTTAAGATGGGTGGACTTCAACACCCAGAATTCCCCAGGCATCACAACTGGCTGCAGGGGTGGGGGTGGGGGCATCCTGGGAATTGAAGTCCACCCATCTTAAACACTTTCAAGAAGAGGCTGGACTACCCTCTGTCAGAAATGGTGTAGGGTCTCCCGCTTGGGCAGAGGGGGGGTTGGACTAGATGACCTATAAGGTCCCTTCCAACTCCTGTTAAAGGATGGATTATGTTGTTTGCTGGAGGTTGTGGGAGCTTCATCCCTGCAGGCTTTCAAGAAGAGACCTGATTGCCCTCTGTCAGAAATGGTGCAGGATCTCCTGCTTGGGGGGGGGGGGGGGGGGGTGGGACTAGATGACCTCCAAGAGTCCCTTCCGACTCTGTTTATTATTCTGTTGTTCAGAAATTGTGGGAGCTTCATCCCTGCAGGCTTTTCAAGAAGAGATTGGACTGCCCATCTGTCAGAAATGATGTAGGGTCTCCCGATTGGGCGGGGCGGGGGGTTGGACTAGATGATCTCCGAGATCCTTTCCAACTCTGATGATCTGTTATCTATTAGTAAAAAGTGGTGTGTGTGTGTGTGTGTGTGTGTGTGAGGGAAATAGGATTGCAACAGGAAGTAGGTGCTTTTTGGACCCCTTAGGCTGCCTCTGGCCTCCATGCAGATGTTTTTCACCGCAAGGAATTGCCAAAACCTTGCAAAAAAAAAACAACGGGGAAGAGCCGGAAGGATTTGGAATTTAAAACACTCAGGTCATGCCCTGTCTCGCACCAGGGAATGTTGATGGAGGGCAGGGCTGTGCATAATGGGCCTGTGGCTGCATGTTTCCCAATCGGTCCTGCCCAGCTGGTTTGCAACTAGGTGGAACAGCTGATAGGAACAAAGATGGGTGGACCAATTCCCAGGATGCCCACTTACCCCCCCCCCCCAGCCAGTTGTGATGCCTGGGGAATTCTGGGTGTTGAAGTCCCACCTGTCTTCAAGGGGCCAAGTTTGAAAACGGTGTTAATCAAAGGGGGCCAAAATGCCAGTAAGCCATTGGATTCAGGTGCTGCCATAAGGAGCGGGCGCTCCTTTCGTCAGTCAAATGCTGGCTGGGGAATTCTGGGAGTTGAAGTCCACCCATCCGCACCTTAATTATTGAAAGATGACTGGACTTCAACTCCCAGAATCCCTCAGCTGACATGGCTGCCTGGGGAATTCTTGGAGTTGAAGTCCCCAGATACCTTAACATGGATCAGGTTGGAAACAGAGAGAAACAAAACACCCATTTCATTGAAGGGACGTGCTTGGCTTTTGGACAATTCACCCCAAATGGGCCGGGGTCCCCCCCGTTTCTCCATGCTGCAAACTTAACCAGGGATTCTGTTTTTTTCCCCCCCAAGGGCTCGGAGGCGGCTGGAAGTGAAATCACCTCTGTCTTAATCCTGTCTGTCTTCACGGCCATCTTGGGATCCTTGCAATTTGGATACAACATTGGGGTGATCAATGCTCCCCAAAAGGTACATGGGCAGAGCTGTGACCTTAGTCTGGGGTTGTGGGGTGTGTGTGTGGGGGGGTGTGCCAAAGTTAGCGGAGTCCATTTTGAAAGATGTTAAGAGATGCTGAATTCGCTGCTGGGAGCGAGACCGAGTTGAGATGGATTTCGTGGCGTGAGATCAGCGTCCTCACTTCGTGACCACCTGTTCTGACCCAAACCTGGTTCCAAGAGAGCAAACACACGACAAAGGCAGCAGCACAACCTTTTAATGTTTCAGCTAAGAATCCTGTTTCTTCCCAGATAAAAGGCCGCTTCCAACTAATTAGCTCCGACAAGAAAGAGCCTTGCCAAGTTTTTGCAAGGCTGCCCAAAAACAACAGATAAGAAATAGTTTACAACACAAGAGAGTCTTCAAATATCAACTGGAATGTCCACGAGGCTGGGTTTCAAAACGTCTTTGCTTCCTGCAAAGAACGTTCGCTTCACAGCTGGCTTTTATCTTCTTGAAGGAGGGGCCATTATCTTGCAGCCTTACTCCCGAGTCACCTGTGCTGCTGCAGCTGCTCTTTCCTGCGAGCAACCGTGCACGTGCACTTGGCACAGGCTCCTCAGGAACCTCCTTATCACTGCCGCCAGCCCCCACAATCTCTGAAGGCAGCAGTCCACTCCCTGATGGTCCTGGCTCCTCACCTGAGTCCTCGCTCTCCTCGGCCATCCACACCTGCTGCTGGCTAACCACAACACTACCTCGCTCAGTGTTTTTCGACCTTGAAAACTTTTAAGACCGGGGAGGAGACTTCAGCTCGCAGAATTCCCCAGCCAGTCAAGGGTTTTACCCAGAGGTGGTAATTCAGCCGGTTTGGACTGGTTCCAGAGAACCTGTCTGGAATCTGCACTGTATATCAGACATTAATACAATTGAGCGAGTATTTCACGAGAAGAGTACTACACTCCTCTGCTCGCAACAGAATACCCTATATCAGTGGTCGCCAACTGATGGGCCGTGAGAAAATTTTGTGGGTCCTAGAGAAATCTCACCCCCAGAGCACACACACCCCCAAGCAGTTAATCCAGGCTGCGCAGAAACACAAGGGCTGCGCGGCGCCCACATGGCCCGCAGGAACCCTCCCCGCCCACTCACTCCTTACCCAGTAAACTTTTCTGCTAAATTGCTATTTTTCCTTTTTCCGACCATCAGCTGTTCTTCTGTGCCGGGAGATTTAGATTAGCTAGGAAGCAGGAAACGGTTGGATTTCTTGCTTTCTAGCTAGTCTTTAGATCTTCAGCTCTGCTTTTAAGCACAGCCAAACCTCCCTTAGGACTGAAGGTGCTATTATTCCGTGCAGACTCACGGCAAGCAAATTTGAGAGACTGAGCTAGCTGATGGCAGATAGATAGATCACTGAATGATTCTGTGAGCAACTCAATCTGCCTGCCTGCTTTGCCTGATTTTGGGTAAAAGTTGCTCCTTTTTTATAAAAAAATCAATATTTATATAAATATTTATAATATTTACATACAAGCCATGCCCAGCCAGTCACATGACCACCAAGCCACAAATTAGGCCACGCTCACAGAACCAGTTAGTGGTCCCTGGGATTTAAAATTATGAGTTTGTTGGTCCCTGAGGTCCAAAAGGTTGGCGACCCCTGCCCTACATCACCAGACTTGAAATTTTGGGCTTGGACAATCTTGAACTACTCTGCCTACAGTTCGACTTAAGCGTAGTACACAAAATTATCTGCTACAACGTCCTACCCCATCAATGACTACTTCAGCTTCAACCGCAACAATACAAGAGCACACAACAGATACAAACTCAATGTTAACCACTTCAAACTTGATTGCAGAAAGTACAACTTCAGCAACAGACTGGTCAATGTCTGGAATGCACTACCTGATTCTGTAGTTACATCCTCAAATCCCCACTCCTTTAACCTCACACTATCCACTATTGACCTCACCCCTTTCCTAAGAGGTCTGTAAGGGGCATGCATAAGTGCACCATCGTGCCTACCATCCCTGTCCTATTGTCCCCATTTAATCGTACCTTTTTTCTGTATTCTTACTCATGTTTATACTTATACCTATTATTTTGTAAGCGATTGACAAATCAAATAAATAAATAATAATAACCAGTAGCGTAAAGTTTGAGTAGTTTGGAGAACCAGCAAATCCCGTCTCTGACTGGCTCCACCTCCCCCATCTATTCTACGCCTCCCATTGAGTCCCAGCTGATGGGCTGGGTCTTCTTTGGTTGCCCTGCACAGGAGAACGGAGCTGGAAAGCAGGTTAGTGGGGTGAGGAGGGAATGGAGATTTTGCAGTATATCCTTCCCCTGCCACATCCACCAAGCCATGCCACACCCACCAAGCCACACCCACGTAAAATGGTAGTAAAAAAAAAATCCCACCACTGGTTTTACCAGAATTCAGCATGGATAAGAAAGAATCCACATGGCTAGACTGCCTTCATTGCATTTTTTTTTAAATGGAGTAACTTAGAATTGGTCATCGATATACTTCATTGGCACAACAAAGTAAGAGTAGTCCTATATATTAAAAAGACAATAAAAGCTAATTTTTACAGATGAAGATGGGAGGATATTGATGGTGGAGATAATAGAGAACAATCAAAAGATAACAATATATGCACCAAATGATAAGCAAGAGGAGTTTTATAATAAACAGCACAAGAAAACAATAGAATTGGAATATGACAACATATGTATTCTAGGAGACTTTAATGCTACAGTGGATATAGAGTTGGACTACAAAACACAGAAAATAAATTTAAAAAAACCAGAATTAATGAATTAATGACTGAATTAATTGAATTAATTATAATTATTAATGTAATATAATTATATAATATAATTATATCTGGGCAGTCACCAAAGTAATCGATGCTGCTGCAACCAGGGCAATCCTTGTGAGCAGGGAATTAATTAACAATTGAATTAATTTAATTAATTATAATATAAATATAATTATGGGGTTCACCTGTCCCCACACATCACCCTTAGTGAAGCATGCAAACCAGGGTCTGTATTTCCTGTGTCAGAAAAGGAGAGCATCCTTCTGTCATGCCCACTTTTTATAGAGGCACGATTGGGAGTGTTTTAACAAACTGCACCCCTGTTTGGTTTGGGGGCTGCAGTGCCTCAGATAGAAAGTCCCCTGCAGAGAGTGGTGAGGACAGCAGATAGAAAGTCCCTACAGAGAGTGGTGAGGAGAGTGGAGAAGATTATAGAAAGCTTGTTCCCCGTTATTCAGGATGCTGCTTATAAGTACTCTGTGCTTAGAGCTCAAAAGGTTGTTGGAGACCCCACACACCCACTTCATGGTCTGTTTCTGTTACTCACCTCTGGGAGGAGGTTTCGAAGTATTTCTAGCAGGACTTCCAGATACTGGGACAGCTTTGTTTCCTAGGCCATCCGTCTGGTAAACTCGCATGGGTCATTTTTCTCAATATGTACATGTATACATGCAAATTAGGCTGTGTTGTTTCTCTGTGTCATGTAACATATGTGGGAATAGGCATAAATTTGTCTTTATTAATTTATTCATTTTTGTCACGTTTATGTAGTGTATATTAGGGGAGGTGACTCCTTGAGAGCTGGATGCAATGAAATTTTATTTTAATGTATGCCGATTAGGGTACATTCAAAGTGACAATAAAGTTTATTCTGTTCTGTTCTGTTTATTTCTATTCTATTCTTATTTCTGTTCTATTCCATGTTCTATTCTATTCTTATTTCTATTCTGTTCTATTCTTTTTTATTATTATTATATAAAATAATCTTTATTGAACGTATTTTCACAATTAATAACACATTTCCAC